GCAGAATGATTAGTGTATTTTAATTGACACATAATTAACGGATAGTTTTTGTATGTACAAAGAAATGCTATGTGTTCATATTTCCGGGTTGAAGGCCAGAAGATTGGGAAATAGAAATTAGGAAGTTTGGGGCTATGTTCCCCTGGGAATGTTGTGGAATCTAGAAAGGCTGAGAAGTTGGAAGGAGTCTGGTTGAGGCATAAAACATATTAGGTAGATATCCACTTCTCTTGGTAGATTCCTATTGATTGTTTGAAGATCTGTACCAATAATTACAGTCTAGCAGTTACGTATACAACTGAGTGGAAACCAAACACCTTTGACCATTAAACTACAACTTTTTTTTAATCTACTCTATGCCCTAATTATCTCCTTCCTATAGTTATGATAATATGCTAATGGCCTCTCTCCACTATCAGAAATCTTAAGATTAGTAAGACACAAGACCAGCTACTGATTGTATACAACCAGGTTTTCACCTACAAGTATGTCCTAAAACTTTTCCCAAGTGCTGAAATGACTGCCAATTTCTATGACTTCGAAGCCACGAAGGGAGCTCTCAGGACCTGAGGCTCATTCTGCTGCCCACACAAGCACAGCTGTAGATTAAGAACCAACCCAGAGCAATCTCCCTCCCTCCACTATTCTTGTATGTTCAGGGCAAAACTATATGTAGCATGTACATGTACAGTGAACCTTTTTTTCTAAACACAGATCATGTTTTTACACACACACACACACACACACACACACACACACACACACACACACACAGTCCTGACCAAAATTATATTGGTTCCTCAAATAGACTATCAACAGAAGATGGGCATGTTCCATAGTCTATGCTTCTTTTGTTGGCAGCCCCGTATAGAACACCTGAGAAGTACTTCCTGCTTTACAAGCTTTAAAAACATGGTCTTTGTCTCACTTCCAAGTCTGCCAGGACAATTTTTAATCCTGTGGGTTCTGTGGTCCTGATGTTTTGTTGGTGTCATAATTTTAACATTAGTATAAAAGTTGTTGAATTGAGTTCTCTGTTCAGTTTTTTAAAGTAATTAAATGCAAATTAGGATGTTGTAGGAAATAAAGAGTGAAAGAATAGTGTTTGGGGATCTTATCATCATTCCAGAGTACTTATTCTATTAAGATTCGTTGTTGTTTTTCTAATCTTAGGAGAAGAGTCATGGCTGAGGGCCAGGAGCAGTGGTTTTAGTCTTGGTCTTCTGTGAATTGAGTAGGTAAGAAAGATCAAGACACGAATCTCAGTTTTTGCTCCTGTAAAATGGTTGAGCTTTATCTACCTAGAATGTTGTAAGATTAAAAAAAAAATTTTTAAAGTATCATTATTCCATAGGAAAACTTTGTTCAAAAAATGTTATAGTAAGAATACTAATGTTACAGAAGGCACATGCATATTTCATTTCCAAAATTAAGTGGAGAAATCACACATCTGACACTCAAAGGCTCGTAAATTATTTCAAATCAGGAAAGGAATACAGCAAACATATTTTCTCTCCTCACAATATATCTCCATGGTTTACCTATCTCATCTATACAACCTTATGGTCTCTGAGATATTTCAGAATAATAGTATGATAAAATATAATATTTGAGAGAAATGATCTGTAGTGGGACCAATGATAACATAGGTCTTACTTTGAGCCTGAGTATTGATTAAAATACGAGGTTGTTCAGTAAATTAAACTTCGCTGTTTTTCTTGAGAGCAATACAATTCTTAGTTAGGCTTCTCATATTTGACTTCAAGTCAGATGACTTTCAATGTTCTTCCTATATAAAGCTTCCTATATAACGTTACCCTGTTTAAAAACTACAAGATGCCAACCAGCCACTCATGGATGTCCAAGAGGTACCTGGTCTTCTTCAGAGGATGTCAAGCAAGCATCCATATGAGGATGCCACTCTGTTTATTCACAGCCAAAGGTGAAGAAATATAATAAATGTGGGAGGAAAGTATGGTATTTTTTCCTATTTGTTTTGATAAAAATGCAATCAACCACTTTCATGGAATGAAATGCCTAAGAGTCAAACACCAAAGATTCCCATTTTACGCCTTTGCCTCTTTAGATATTAAGCAGAACTGATGTCCATAGATTCTGATGTTTTGCTGTCCAACCCTCTCTGGGTCAGCCCACTGAGAAGGTGGGAGGCCCCACAATCCTACCTCCTAGTGCAATAGTTATCCTTCACTTCAAGATTCTTAACAAAGTCAACTGGGCACAACTGCTTCATCTAGAGAGAATCTTTATTTAGTGCTAGAATAAGTTGCATAGTTATTGTGATTCACCCAATAGCCAGCTCAGCTGACCATCTGTTCTGGAACAAACAAATAAGCCAAGTACTAAATATCACTCATCAAACACCTAGGTCCTTAGGAATCAGGGCATGGAGTTCTTGAGTGCTAGACTCTTTTGGTGTCCCCCCCCCAAATCTCTGCCTTTGAACTACTATTCTTGTTTCAGGGTGTCTGGGAGCTGTCACCACTCTCCTTCAGTGAATTTGCTCTTTCCTTTCTTGCTGTGTCCCTTTAGAGTAGGGAATGTGGGTGAGTGTGAAAGACAAAAGAAAAAAAATTCAAGAAATGACAACTTTTAGCATACAAATGATCTGGAGCTAGTTAAACAGTTATAACTCTGACATATGCAGAAACATTCCGATGCCTGTGGGGTTTTGGCCTTGACTGATGTTGGCCCGTTGGAAAACACTAGTGCAAGTAGATGGTATTTAGTCTCCAAAGGGTATACCCTGGACTTGAATCCTTTCTCTAGGTTGAAGAAAAGGAAAGGGGGTGGAAAAATTATTTAATAAGTGAGCAATAAGCTGCTCTGGGCTTGAAAACATAAAAAAAAATAAGCCAGAGAAAGTGTAGATTGAGGATGAGAGACAAAGAGAAGGGTAAAACTTCTCACATAAAAACAGACTCTTCTATTTGCAGCACTTAAATAGTATTTATAAAATCACTGTTCACACTTTTTAGCCCCATCTTAAATGTCAAAAAAACCCCAACATTATAGAGAATATATGCTTTATAAACACTGTTTGCGGTACCAAAATAGCACAGAGCCTAATACCTCCGCCCCAGATTTCCGAGAAGCTCATTTGGCTTTGACACTTAATCTGACAGTTAACAAAGAATCCCAATCGAAAACATTTCAAAGTGCTAGAGAGTGAAACCTATTTCTGGCAATATACTGGGGAAAGAGAGCTTGAACAAAAGGTTGAAGAACACAATATGGTGAATGTCAACTCAAAAATCTCTCCACTCACCATCAACCAGAAAGCAGTCAATTCTACAAGAGAACAGGTCTCAAACATGGCTACTGAGATTCATGACCCTGTGATTGCAAAATGAGTGTGCATGAAAAAAATAAATGCACTCTCTGTATCGGTTGGAACTATATCAAACAGTCTAGCTGACCTATGGGCTTTTTCTGTGATGGGCTTTTAGAGAAAGAGGAGAAAAACAAATGAAAAGAAAATCATTCCTTGCTTGCCTATTTTGCAATATGTGTGGCCCTCCCTGCCCTGTGGCATCTGAAAGTCACAAAAACAACAACAACACAGAATGGAGAGTTAAAAGCAACCACAATAGCAAGAGTTGGGAGTATCTGATGGAGAGGGAAGATGTGAAGGATTAGAGGACAGTGACCTTTCCATTTCTAAGACGGCTCAAAACAGGAGGCACGTGTGCCAACAATCGGAGTGGAGAGCTGGTAAATGCTAAAATGTATTTTGCCAACAAAGTAGAATGGAACCACAAGACCCAATAATTCTGAAGCTTCAAGGGCTCTTAAATAGTCTCCACTTCAAACTCTCCTGCAGATAAGTCATTTAAGCCCCAAGCTCAGTGTCCCTGAGGTAATAGCCAAGCTCAGTCTCAGATATCCCAATTTGTGTTTCTCCTTTCTCCACTGAGACCTTCACTCTAGCTCTGCTGAGCACAGACTGGGCCTTGAGTCCAGAAAGAGCCTCATCTTGGTCCCTTCCTGTCTCCACGGCTGGCGATCAGAAGAGAAAGAATTGTAACCGTGTTTCTTTGCTTGACACAAACAGTCACTTCAGTGGCATAGCATTCCTAAAAACTATGCAATGCACACAATTTATCAAGCACAGAGAAAAAAAAAGATAAATTAGAACATGCACATGTTTTAAGAGAATGATTTACTTAAGATAGTTTTCCCATTTCACGCGTATTTGGCTTATGAAACAGACTTGCTCTGTACTCAAAAGAGACCCAAGTTCAAGGCAGCTTCAAATTTCCAAAGTAAATAACTATGCATCTTATGCTTCTGGTGGGACCATGGAAAGATAGCAAGATAGTAGCAAACACTGTTTTTAAGGACAAACAACAACAACAAAAACAAACAAACAAACAAAAAACCCCAACTAAACCAAAATCCATGCTCTTTTTAGAGCTAGAACTTATGTGTCAGTGAGTTCAGAACTGTCATTTTGCAAGGGACAGACACTGAGGTGGCAGATTTTAAATGACACAGTTCAGGCCGACCCAGTAAGTAAAGAACTGGGTCTTAGAGGCAGCATTTATCCTCCAGGTTTGCTATTTGTTTGTTTGTTTGTTTTAATTTAAAAGCCACAAAAAGAAATAAAAGGACAATTACCCTGCACATGTCCTGGTTGTTTTAAAATGTTTGTGATTTTTAACTTGACTTACGTTTTGCCATAAAACGTTTCACAGTTTTGTTAAGAATTGTAAGGGGCCCGGATAGGAGGAAAACATGTTTCAGGAGCTCTGTTAGCGATCAGGGAATAAGTCCACTTCGTTGCCTGAATTTTATAAACTTCCCTGGTCCTCTGATCATCCTCTACAGTGAATGCCACATGACTGCTGATAAAAACGAGCCATAAAGAACAATGTGCATCTTAAATGTCACATACTTTGCATTGTACACTGCACTCTTATAAATGAACACAGGAGATAAAAGGAAAATAAATGCTAACTAAAGGCAGCAATGGGGCTTACATTCGCGTGCTGCTGGTCTTATTGATGATAACGGATTTCCCTGTTTGATCCACATTGTGGTCCAACCCGAAGTAAGCTGCCACACGGTGAACGAGCATCCTCTGATAGGAGGACATCTGAGGGAACTTTTTATAATGGTTACTGAAAGAGAGGACCGGAAAAAAGTGGGGTCAGCATTTTTGTCTCTGGCCCTGAGTACATTTCACAGGTGCGCACACACACACACACACACACACACACACAAACCATTCTTCTCCCGCCCAAAGCGCTTCGTCTCTGGCATCTTCATGCCCAAGCCAGGCTCAGGACAGGCGATATGGCATCGTATGGGAGTGATGGGAGTGCAGGCGCCTAGCTGGAGATGTGTCATTACATGGTTTACGGTGACAGCGGCACAATTATTTCCAGGCATAACTGACTGCAGCCAGCTGGAGCCCATTAAAACGCGATCATCAAAATGAAAAGGGTCGCTTCTTGTTACAGCTACTCTGTGCTAATCGGTGGGCCCCGGTTCATAGCCCTTTTGTCAGGAATTTAACAAGCGGGAGCAAACATGGTCCAAGCAGCAATCCCCATTAGCATAGAGCTCCAATGGAATCGCCACCGAACAAATCAGCAAATGTACTAAACGTTTTATCCATCCCCAAACCTTTCCAGAGTGAATAATTCGACCCAAAGGCCAAATGAAGATGCATCATGCAAATTAACCAGAACTGCCATTTCACATACTTGTTGTCGCTGATGAAATCAATAATTTCCTGCTCCATTTTCAAGAGGATCATCCTGTCCCTGCAACATAAATGCGAAAATGTAGTTTTTCATGTGCTTTTCCATTGCCAAAGACTCAAAAAGTTCATTAGGATGCATGAAAAAGATCATGTCATGCCTCCAAACTCTTATCTAACTCTTCTTTTGAATATGCTAGGTAATATATATGGTTTCATTCCTCTTAAGCTTATTTCTAAACTCATTAATTATTAAATATTTTTAATAATTGACACGTTTGCAGTTTTCATATTAATTAGAATATGCAAGGTATTAGGCCCATAAAGCACATCAAATAAGTTGCATATTTTAAATTAATTGGAAACTAGAACAAAGCAAAGCCCAAGCAGGTGGTTATATAACTGCATTGAAGCATAATTGGTTTATTTGATATTGATTCTCTCCCCCCACCTCTATTTTTCCCCTTAACCGGTATCTCTTTGTGGCCAAGAAAGCAGAATTTGTAAACTATAACTTATTCACCCAGAAATTAACACTTTCTATCAATAGTCAACATACCAACCCAGGAGAGGGTTTAAGACATCAGAGAAGGTGTCTATACTTTACAACTCCCCTCTTAGAAGTATTTAGATGGATGAGTTCAACGATAATATTCCACTCGAGTCTTCTTAAAATAAGAGGTTTGTTTGAGAATTTACCTGGAATTATTCTTTAGCGTGTTAATCAGAAACTCATGTAAGTCTATGCCTGTAGAATCCGTGTATTCTTGGCTGCAATCTGAAACAAACAGCATAACGGGGTTGTCAGGAATGAGGGGGGGTGGTGGTTGGAGTGAGGGATGGGGTGGGGGTAGTCAAAAGGTTTTTCCAATCTTTTCTGTTCAGGGAAACTTTAGGTGAAGCTATTGCTATGAAAGTTACCTATTTCAAAATGAGCAGTCTGCCAGTCTAACATCAGAATAAAAATTAGACTCAGGGATTGAGAACACCCAATAGATCCCGAGTATGGCTTACTCAACCATCATGGGAGGCACAGCCTGGGTGGTTGGTTGGTGGAGTAGTTATCATGGGTTCTTTCTGAGCTTAAAATCAGCAAGGGCGTCTACAGCCATACCACCCTGAACGAGCCAGATCTCGTCTGATCTCGGAAGCTAAGCAGGGTCGGGCCTGGTTGGTACTTGGATGGGAAAATCAGCAAGGGCATGACCTCCACGTGACAGGTACTGTCAACTCAGAGAGAGCTCTGGAGTTGGAGATTTCATGGAGAGAGAGAGAGAGAGAGAGAGAGAGAGAGAGAGAGAGAGAGAGAGAGAGAGAAGAGAGAGAAGAAGAAGAAGAAGGAGGAGGAGGAGGAGGAGGAGGAGGAGGAGGAGGAAGAGGAGGAGGAGGAGGAGGAAGGAAGGAAGGAAGGAAAGAAGGAAGCCCTAAGATTATCTAAATATTAAACAATAAAAAATGTAGGATACTAAATATTTCTAGGTCTTCCAAATCTTCTGATTCTAGCTAAAGCTTAATTTCTAAAACTATTTTAGGATGCTGTATTTCTTTACTCTTAATTTTAGATATTCAGCAATAAATATAAGCAGATGTTGGTTACAGAGCATAATGCTAAAAGTAGTTGTCATTCCTCAGCTGATCGAACACCCTATCCTTTTTTCATTTACTAACAAAAGTCTAGTGGGAAGCTATTTGTTTGTGGCATTGTTCATTTCAACTTAATTTAAATTTGTTTTTACTTTTTTTCTTTTTTTAAGTTTTGTACAGTTCTATGGATGGCAATGATTTGAAAAGTCTGGATTGTAGGACTGCAGATTTAGGAGGAATGACTTTTTTGGGGGGAAATCTTTACTGAAGTAGAAATGTGTATATTTTAAGTGAGATATGGGTTGCACAAACCAAGTTCATCTGTGGCAGGTAAAATGGTAAGTGTGTATTTCATTGACAGGGATACATACATCTGTGCTTTGGGGAGGATACCACCTGTGGACTGAGCATTGCTAGTCCACTATCTGTCCTTAAAGATAAACATGAAAGTTAAGATATAAAACTGGGTATCATTGCTGTTCATCAATCTAAATGAATGGGACTAATAAACCTGAAACTAGAACAAATTTATATTCACTGCTCCTATAAACTTATCTTTGAAAATAGGAGGTCCCAATGAAAACCCAAAAAATGTGATCCTAAAATTAACCTTTTAAGCTACATAAATAATGATACTATGAACAAGGGGGAAAATGAAGTTCACATCTTTTATACATACACACACACTCACACAGACACACACACACACACACACACACACACAATTAAATACGGAATTTGGTGGGAGGTGAATATGCATGTAAAATCTAGAATTGTTCTGTGATTCTTCATTTTTCTAAATTGAGTAAGTTAAGAAAATGTTCACATTCACCTTTTGATAACATTCTGATCTTGGGTTTCTCAGAGGATTTATCTTTGTTTTTATCCTTTTCTTTTTCTTTTTCAGGGTCATCTTTCCTAGATTTATCCTCCTCTTGCAGGCTGGGGAAACTGGAAAGCTGTAAATGAATTGATTCCTGTTGGGGGAAAAATATAATAATTTAGGGCCAGATTTAATAATTTCTATCTGGCTTCCAGTTTGCATAGAGCTTATTATGTACAGGCAAATGAAAGCCAGGTGCAGTTTTTTCTTTCTTTCTTTCTTAAATGGAAAAAAAATTCAACCTGTCAGAAAAATAATTGCCCTTGCAGTTGAATTAAAGTTCAGGAGTCAGTGGCAGGTCAGGAGAAACATCTAGCACTAAAACTTTGCCTCATGATGGTTAACCTTAAGCAACTTAAGTTCCTATGGATCACAACTCTTATTTCCTCTACTGGTTTACTTGTAAGCATCTAGAAACAGTTCTTTATCAGTGAGCTTGCATCTCAGCCACTGCCATGTCTCAAACATGGAGTGGCTTCCATAGTTCTTTCCTATGAGCTCTTATAAGGAGCAATTGACACAAATACAAACAGACAGATGTTATGAATCTCATTACATATAAAACAGACATAGATAAAGACCCTACTAGCCAATTTACAAGAGAAATTGTAATTCACCACTGTATCAACAATGATTTTTTACTACTAAGAAAAATCAAGCTACATAATTGCAGGAATATTAGGTATGCATTATTGTCATACATACATGGTTTACAAATGCCTCTAATAAATCATCATAATATATAGTTACAATCAGCACTGCCTTTTAGAAAAGGGTAGAAACTAGAAGTATATTTTCTATCAATTACATATAAATATTTAATATGAGTTCAATTTTAGCATTAGTTCATCCTTTCCAAAATGTAAGAGTCTCTTGGACTATTGCTTGGTATAAGATTGACCATGTATAGTATGTGCGGCTGAATCCACTTTTGTATTTATTTGTTTTGCGCTAAAAATGAAGCATTTTGTATTAACTTGTATATCAGCCCCTTAGTTGATGGGATGTTCGCTGTTTTGAAGAAGAATGAGGCCAATTATGTTCCTTAGTTTTATGACAATCCTATGCTATGATTGAAACGATGACAAATTAGTCAACATTAAGCCCACATGCTCTTATGTAAGAGATCATTTGATGGGGAAGCTTTCTTTTACCAGTGACATTAAAATTTATGATGTAGGGGAAAAAATATTCCCAGTGACTAATAGTGTTTTTCAAGGGAAACTAAACTAGTGCTCATCTACATGTGACTAAATGGCTGCTGTACACCCTCAAATTATGGCCAATCTGGGATTCTTAATGGTTCTTTGGTTCACTTGTCTGATCGAACAAGCAGAGAATCAAAGCCAGCTTTCTTTTGGGGGGAGGGGCCCCATTGTGAATTCATAGCTGGAATAAAAAGTCACCATGGAAAGACACGTGCTACAGAAGATAAAATAGACTACATTCTCATGATACATATTTATTTGAGCTGATGTCCTAACAGTCACATATTTATTCTGGAGATGAAGATGTAAGAAATATGAAAAACTGAGTGTTTTTATCACTTGATTTGGGACCGAAATGTCTTAGTCCACAACGCTACAGGCAGATTTTAGGGTTATGATTTGTTTCTACTTGTTAAGAAAGCAGCTGGAACATGCCTGTTTCAGAAGACCAGGAGGGGGTGGGGAAAAATCAATTTGACAGCCGATCAGGTGGGAAACTGAGGGTATCAGGCCATGAAAGTGGTCTCATTGCTTCTTCAAAACCAACTGAACCTCCCAGCCTCTATAAGTTTAAGTCTTAAATCAAAGAGGCTTAGAAATACTCATATAAGAGCAGAGGCTAACTGACATGATTTATAGAAAAAATGGACAAACTCGTGCCATGTGTGGAATAATACTATACTCAGGAAAAAACACCTATCTATTCTATACAAACATATACATTATGGTGTTGAAAGAACACACAAAAGTGCTATAGAGTTGGTAAAAAACAATCTGTTATTTTTTAATATTTTTATTGATATGCTCCATAATAAAATACACGTGTTAATAAATACATCGGTACAGGATAAGTTTATGTCCAACAACAGGAGAAGAATGATTCAAGTTGCAGTCATACACCGAGAAAGAGTATAACATTAGAAAAGCAAAACTCCTTTAACTTAAGGACAGACTGAACCATCAACTATGGGTCTGAGATCAAGTAATACAGGTAGCAAGAGTTTTTCCCACACAGGAAAATGAAGGCAGTTTTCCAAATACTATGAAATATACAAACAGGGGAAGCAATACAAATCCATACGCTGTATACATGTGCCAGTGTTCTCTGGGACTCAGATCCCATACTTTGTAAGTGCCGGTGGAAGCTAATGAAGGCATCGCATATCAAGTTCAAAGGTCTGCTTCTTTGTTCTCTAAAAAGTCTAGCACAGCCACTTTACTTACATGTGTGTCTGGCTACTGTCTGGCGCCCCCCTCCCCTCCTGTTCCCACCACCCCTCAGCCAGTCCAAAGAGAAGCTTGCAAACTGTACTTCTCTCCTAGTCCTGGTTACTGAGCTTGGAACCAGTAGGAACAAAGCACCATTTGCATCTTATTTCTCTGCACCAATTGTATGGAGAAACCAGACTTAGGTCCAGGATGGGCAATAGGATACAGATGCTCTCTTAAAAAAATTTTTTTTCCTCCTGCCTGGCCAATGTAGCTCAGTGGCTGAGCATCAACCTATGAACCAGGAGATCATGGTTCGATTCCCAGTAAGGGCACTTGCAGGGGGTGGGCTCGATCCCCAGGGTAGGGTGTGCAGGAGGCAACTGATCAATGATTCTCTCTCATCGTTGATGTTTCTATTTCTCTCTCCTTCTCCCTTCCTCTGTGAAATCAATAAAAATATATTTAATTTTTTTTTTGATAGCTTGCCAAATGGGATGAAAATCAGATTACGTCTGTAAAGGCTGTCCTCGTCGGCCCTGCATTGGAGTAGGGGACAGCAGGGACAGCCCTTCTCCCAGAGTCTGTCATTCTGCAGCGTTAACACGTGGCCTGTGCAGTACATTACAAGCCATCAATCAACAGTGAATAATACAAGCCGGGCTAGCCACATGACTCCCCCATTTCAATCTCCAGTAAAAATAGAAGCACACATAAAATGCTGAAGGAAAGCCACACGTTTCTCAGAACCCAAAGAAAAGAAAGTTGTGGACGAAACATCTTGATGGCTACGGAAAGGTAGCCTGCTCATGCCCACGACAGGAGGGGCGGGTCGAGAAAATGCGGCCAGGGAACAAAAAGTACTCTCCGGACAAAACCGAGAAGGGTTTTATTTTTGGTCCTTTTAAAGAAAGTGCTCTCAGTGCTCTCTGTAACCATGAGGAGAATTTAGAGGATTTCAATTAAAGTACAAAGAGAAAAGCCAAACAAGACCAAACAAACAAAAAAAATAATGGTATCTTAAATCAATTTTCCCTCCCCTGGGCTCAGATAAATCATTTCACTTTTGTCTTGACTGCTTTCAGGCTCTGATAAAATAAGGGAACTATCAGCAGCAAGACTACTTTAATAAAAGCTAATATGATGCCTACAAGGCAAACAAAAATAAAGATGACATGAAATTTTCCGTTTTGGTCATGAAAGGGTTTTGTTGGAATTTGCATTTTTTTTCCGAGCCTGGCCATGAGTTAGCAACAATCACGGTGCGCATATGTAGCAATGCATGAATAACATGAACTTAAATTCCCCATCAGCTCAGATTCCTCTCTGAGTATTGAGACAGCTCCACTAACAGCCATCAAAGGACTTCTCCCAAGTTCAATGCACCTTGTTTTTTCTATTCCTAATGTTTGACTATAGCCAGGGGTTGTGTTTCTTATAGGCAAATGCATTAGGGGGAGCTGAGAGGTCAGACTATCCCGTAAGGAAGGACATGGGACACTTAGGTCTGCATTTGGTTCAGTCTTATCAAGAGAGAGCCTTTGAGGAAACCCAGCCCTACCGGGCTTGCTTTTATAAGTTTTAATCTAAATTCGTTTGAATTCCTTTCCATTTGCAGTTTTCAGAGGGTCTGGAAAAAAAACAAATGTAATACTCTGTGACAAACCGTGACACTAGTTTTCAAACGTCTCATACACATGGGATGAAGCCAGAAAAACGCTTTCTTTTTTCCAGTGATGCTCCTTTGCCCCCAAAACACTGTCTAATGCCAGAGTCATAGCCATGCACACAAAGGTGGGTCTTGTTCGTGCAAGTAACCATAGTAACGGGGGGTATACCTGGTCTTGGAGATTCTCCCCTCCGGGTCTGGCTGAGGATTCTTCACAGACAGCGAGACTGCGCGTCAATTTGCCTTTCCCTGCTCCTGACTGAGGAGGGGAGAGAAGAGGGGCAGAGGGGAAATAAAGAAAACACACAGGAAATATTCTCAGGCCTCCAAATCATCTCCACCGCCACTTGACAATCCCAAATCAGAGCTCAACCTGCTGCTCAGTGCTGTCCACATTCGCTCAAAGCATCAGGCCCTGGTGGTGATGGGCACAGAGGTGAGGGAAGATGTGAATGGGTGGATCTAAGGGACACCTCCAGCCACCTGTGCCCATCACATTGGAAACGCAAGAGGGCTGAGTTGCTGCCATTTCATGGAAATGCCAGAAGAGAAAGGTGAGAGGAGAGAATGTCTACTGAAACAAAGTTGGGAAGTGACTTGACTGAGAAGATGCTTGACAAAGATGATACACGTGTCCTAGACACTGGCCCCTGGCTACTTCCAGATGGAAAGCAACTGGGAGGCTGAGACAGTCCCCCCAAATTTTACTTACACTGAAAACAAAACAAGCAGCTGCTGGCTTTGCAAAGCATGTCAACTCTGCAGGTGGGAACTGGGGTTCAAATAGGTACATTGGCAGCTTTGGGAGCCAAAATGCTCTCATGGCAAAGCACCCAGAGCAAGAAAGGAAGGCAGACATGAATATGATCCTGTTGAAAGCAGACAGCACCAGTACAGCCCAAAGCTACCACAGTCTCCCCACGGGACTCTCCAGACGGATGGCAAACCCGTTAACTCAGGCATCTGCGGCCCATGCCACCAGGTCTGCGGAGAATCCTCAGGACCCTACCTTTGATTTTCTTCTTTCTTGGTTCTGAGCTGCCAGCCGCCTCTGTGTGTTAGAAATAAAGCAAAACAAAACAAACAAATTGTAAATGGACAATGAGAGAATAAGAGAGAGAGAGAGAGAGAGAGAGAGAGAGAGAGAGAGAGAGAGAGAGAAAGAGTGGGAGAGAGAGAGAGAGAGAGAGAGAGAGAGAGAGAGAGAGAGAGAGAAGAGAAGAGAAGAGAAGAGAAGAGAAGAGAAGAGAAGAGAAGAGAAGAGAAGAGAAGAGAAGAGAAGAGAAGAGAAGAGAAGAGAAGAGAAGAGACTAGAAGAGAAGAGAAGAGAAGAGAAGGGGAGGGGAGGAGAGGGAAGGGGAGGAGAGGGGAGGGGAGGAGAGGGGAGAGGAGAGGAGAGGAGAGGAGAGAGAGAGAGGGAGAATAAGGAAGGGAGGGAGGGAGGAGGGGAAGGAGGGAGGAAGAGAGAAAGAGAGAAGGAGGAGGAGGAGGAGGAGGAGGAGGAAGGGAAGAATGGAGAGAAAGAGAAAGAGGGGGGAGAAAGAGAGAGAGAGAGAGAGATAGCAAAATAAAGGTGTCACTATAGTGGAAAAATCAACAAATCAACAGTGAGGGCCACAAAGGCATTCTAGGCACTGGGAGGACTGCTCCCCAAACTTTGGACCTTTGAACCTTTCACTCGCTGGTGTAGCAGCTGTTAGAGAGAAGAAAGCGGACCTTGAAGCTTTGGGCCATTGCGTGGTTATCTGCCTTTGCTCACGGCAAATGAAAAGAGCTAACACTTCTGTAGGGATGCTCAAAGCAAATCCATACAAGCTGTTGGCAAGAACCATTTTTTTTCTCTATGAAACCTTCCCCCCATAACTCATGGTGTATTTAATCACGTCACTTTTTCAGAATTTTAATCACCCTTGTTTCCATTTCTACCCATTTTATAGTTCTCTCTCTCTCTCTCTCTCTCTCTCTCTCTCTCTATCTCTATCTCTCTCTATCTCTATCTCTATCTCTATCTCTATCTCTATCTCTATCTCTATCTCTATCTCTATCTCTCTCTCTCCACCTCTGGCTGGGATTGTAGGACTTAGGTTTGTTTGTTAATAAGAATCTAACCTTAGCCTGCCTGTGAAGGTCAGCAGAGCTCATATCTTTGATTTTTCCTAGCAAATCTATTTTTTTTTAAACTCAGCTCACTTAAAGCTGCCTTGGGAGAAGCCTTCCCAAACTCCTTGAGGTGGTCTGGAACTAGTACGGTGATGCAGTGTGCAAATTCAGTCCTTGGATATCTTTCATGTCAAAAGGCTATTTCGAGTACGATGTAGTCAGAAAAAAATGAATGACCAATAATTGGGGAGGGAGAGGATAGCTTGATGGATTTCCTAGTCATTCTCCTAGTCAAATTCTTTTATTTTTTTTTAGCAAAGAAGAAAACAAACTTTCAAAGCAGTCTAAAAAGGAAAAGCAGGAACTGCACACGATGGCCTGAGAGACGGTTTTCCCCAGGCTTACCTGCAGTTCCAGCTTCTCCTCTTCATCCAGACTCTCCGCCTTCACGATGCCATTCTCCGGGGTGGTCGTCTCCGTTCCGCCTTCCTCCACAATGGGCTGACTCAGGTCCCCTGGCTCCGACATCCTCTCAGACGCAAATGAAAACAGCAAGGTTTGATGCCCTGCAATGTCAGACAATCAGGTCAGAGCAGGGGGTGGGGTGGGGGGTGGTGGGGGGGCAGTCTTCACCATCATTTTGAAGATAATTCCTTCCTTCCTTCATATCCTCATTCAAACAAGCAGCTTGGGCATCCCTGCCAATCTTATACAAAAGGAGACTGAAGCAAGATCCCACCCGGTACCCAAGGCAGACACAAGAGGCAGAATTGGTGGCCCTAGCCACACCCCCACAAACACATGCTCTGGTGCACACACTGGCCATCAAAATGGATAAGCAAACAAACAGAGACACATACTTGCACACAACTGACAGCTCCCGAGACCCACTAGAAAGCAGAAGAACAAGTAAGAATATTTCTCCAACTGTTGCATAGACACCGCCTGCACTTCTGAGCCAAGAGGTGGTACCTCTGTTTGGCAGCGTCTTAAGGATGACTCAAAAACCATTTGCAAGTTTTCACCGTAGCCATACTTTTCCTAGGGTTAAGGAACACTGCACTCAAGGGGCCAACATCTACTTAAGAGGCGACCATTCAGTATAAATATAGGACCTACGCTGGACAATAAACCTTTCAGGGCCAGAAAAAAACTGGCTGCAAACTGACAGCGACTTGATTCAAAGCACCAGCCCTCTGCCCAGCTGGTGCGTGAGCCCTCTGCCCAGACCCAGGAAGGCGCCTCTGGCAGCAGCCCAGGAAGCTGTGGCTCTGGACGCCTCCGCTGCAGCCTCACAATGGACCACCGGGCTGGACCAGCTCTGGAGATGGCTTGTCCAAGTTCAAGGCTGTTTGCTATTCATTTCTTTCTCTCTGACTCCTGCCTGACACTTCCCTTTCTGATGGGCTGTGGGCGGAGGAGGCTCATAAATAATTTAGCACTGACTTTCTCCTCCCTGGTTTCTTTCTTTCTTTTTTTTTTTTTTTTTTAAGATGTGAGCAAAATCAGAGAGAGAGAGAGAGAGAGAGAGAGAGAGAGAGAGAGAGAGAGAGAGAATGGAGAAAAGAAAAAGAAAAGGAGAGAAAAAGTTCTTGTAGCCTAGAAAGTCAGCTGTTTTTCACCAACATTTCATGGCAATGCTGGTTCTGTTCCCAGATGGGACAACGGTAATTAGTACTGGACAAATCCATGTTTTGGTGCGTTTCCTGGGGAGTGTTTAATTACCATTTGCTAATTCAGTATCTGGATTTCCGGCAGGCTGAAGGAAATATGACAAAAAGCAAAACCACGGCAATTTCTGTTGCAAATTCGCTAAGAGCCACCGTGACCGGACAGATGGCAGCTAATGACATCCTGAAACAGCACAGGCGCCCTTGGCAAAGGACTGTGGGAGCGAAAGGGGGACCGGATTCCTCCAGGAAGGTGGTTTGGGTCTGGGAGTGACCCTGAGCCCTGCTTTTTGGGTTCGGGGAGGCTGGGGGCTGTCCCACAGTGCCCTGTGACTGATCTCTCTTCTGCCCGTGAACCTGGGTGTGTGTGGAGTTGACAAAATAAAAAGTTCTGTTTTCCAATGGCAAACAGCTTGTTTCTCAATGTACTGGGGGTGGGGAGGGAGTGGGGAGGAGATGGGACTCCTGTCGCCCTAACTTTTTCTCAGAGCATTTCCATAAAAATCAGATCGCGATCAGATTGACCATGGGAAACGGGAGGAACACGTTGAGTTCAATCTCACAAACCAGAAGCCAGCTGCGTCCTTGCTCCAGGTCCCTGCCAGTTCTGTTCACCTTTCATGAACTGTCCACTGCAAACAGGCGCGTATATGTAACAACAACAACAACAATCCAATAAAACCCACCGATGCGATGACAGCCAAACGAAAGACAAGCCTTGTTACCTTTGGCGCAGAATTCCTGCTGTAGGTCTCGGCTCCTGTCGTCCTGCACCGGGAAAATCCACGCAGATCAGAGGCAGCCGGAGTCCCATGTCCCCATTAACAATTCGGAGTGCCCATGTCCCTGCGATGCCCTCACACAGCGTGCCACATCGTCAACCTGCAAGAGAGAGGAAAGGTCAGCGGTGGGAACGGCGGCAGCGAGCATGGCAGGGGTGGAGGGCGAGGGGGACAGGACGGGGTTCCTAACACGGGTGCCCGGCTCCCGGCAAAGCCCCGCTCCCAGCCTGCTCCGGCTCCACCTGTCTCGGGCTGCCTGCTTCTCCGCTAATGAAGGCTCCAGCCGGCTGTTCAAGTCAGCGCGGCACCCACGCAAGGAGCTAAAATTAACAGTTGCATTATGCGCTGAAGATTACTCACTTCAATTTTAACCTTTTTTAGTGAAATCTCTCACTTTCTGTTACAAAAAAAAAGAAAGAAAGAAAGATAAAGCCACACAAGCTTGTGCGTTCGCCTCAATGAGAATCCAGATCACCTGTGAGCAAACGTCTTGCCTCGTTTGGAAAGCAAAGCCTTTGTCTTCATTCCAGATTCCTAGCCTTTACCTGGCTGTTTCTGGGACTCCTTCCTTCAGGAAAGTTATCCCGATGAAGCAATGCAAAGGTTTCGGTTCTGACGGAGACATTGTCTATCCCGTAAAGTACCAAAGAGCACGTCCCCCAGGCCTTGGCTCAGAAAGCTCATCCCCTTGCAGTTGGGGCAGAAGCATCCCTGCTATTCCCGTGGCCCCGCGAACACAGCCTCTCTGGACCCCTCCCTCCCCAGCAGGCCTGCCACCGCCAGCTGGGCACTCTGTTTGACAGCAAAGACACGCTGTCAGAGGGATCCGACAGATTTGCAGGCTTTGAGCCTGGTGAAAACAACCCAGGCTTCACTGTGCACTTTCTTTTTTCTCACCACTCCTCCAGGAGCCCAGGCAGAGCCAGCGCGAATGTAAACAGAGAGTCGGATCCCTAATGACACTTGCCAAAAACCGGGCTGTATCTGCCACCTTTCTCGGCATCCCACTCTGCTGCATACCTGCTAATGCCAGCAGCATGCACGCCTCTCCCATCCTATAGCCATATCCGAGAACGATCACTGCATCCCCTTTAGTTAGTCTGAAGTTCAGAAACCCTCTTGCCTCCCTCCCTCGTGGCCCCCTCCCAAGTTCAAATGAGCACAGGTGGCTCCTTGCTGGGTTTCACTGCGGCTATGTTAACAGCGGATTGGGTTACAACGCCATTTGTTGTGCAAGAGAAAAACAACTTTTGAAAATGCAATCACTCATGCCAGCAATCGTTTCTAGCTTTATTCACGTTTCATTAAAATGGATCGTTTGGCTTTGAAATATGTTTCTTTTTTAGTTGTTAGAAATTATACAGCTTCTTGAGTGATAAGCAGACGGTTTGTGTAGGACAAAAATGACTCCTTAGTCAAGAGTCATTTTAATTTTTCAATTGGGTCAGCTTCACCATGGCTACCTGGACTAATACTCAAATTAAATAGTAGTCAACATGGCTTAAAAGCAGAATCTGTTTACGTAACCAGCCACTGCTGATTGTCTTAGAATAGACACCAAGTGTTTTATGAATTCTGTTTTCATTTCCCCAAGAAAATGAAGTGGTCTACAGTCATTGTGACCTTTTTGCCTCCTTTCTCTGATGCTCATATTTGTACCGTGGCCTTCCAGCCAACAGGTGAATGACAGTGCATCTTTCAAATCTAAACCTGGTCGCATTTTTCCAGTCCCAGTAGGTGGATGCAAGATATACTTCTCCCCATGAAGAAACAGAAAGAACAAACTGGTATCCACTTCACCAACTCAAGGCGCGAACAGCCTGGCTATCTGTGTGCGTAATTACCAGGCCACGTTTTGAAATAGCACCGAGCGCTGAAGCCAGCGAGGTATTATTCTTGCATGCCTGAATCATAGAGTCATCATCCACCGAGATAAAAGTGAATATGGGCATATGGGAGTGAGCAGAGAGTAACATATGGATCACAAATATTTTTGTAACTGATTAAAATTGTTCTCTTTGCTAAGAGAGCCGTGCCAGGAATTCAGCTCTACTCCCAGCGTTCTGTTCACCAAACTAACCTAACTCTTCCGATGCCATTTCATGTTAAACTGTTCCAATTTCTCCCCATTTTCACAAAGGAGCAAAACTATTTTTAACAAATACCTTTAATCCAACATTCAGTTCATAGATATCCTGGTCAAATTCCAATTGTTATAGTTATAGTTACAATTAGTAGTTACTGCTGTTCTTTCAATGAAAGTAATATTCTAACCATAATTTAGAGCAGTGATTTTTCAACCTTTTTCATTTCATTGCTCACATAAACTGATTACTAAAATTCTGCGACACACCAAAAAATATATTTTTTGTCGATCTCACAAAAAATAGGGTGTAATTTTGATTCATTCACACCAGATAGCTATTACTGTGTTGACTGTTATAATTTTTTTATTCGATGGTCTAAGGGAAAATAGGTCAATGCCCCTTACAAAATAGTCAGGTATTGCACATTTTAAAAATTCTTATGACACACCCATTGAAAGTCTCTGATTTAGAGGATGGTATTTAGTAAAGATAGTTAATCACTTGCAAAGCAATTGATCAGAAGTGCTTGCAGCTCTTTGCAATGAGGAAACTCAGTAAAATCATTACAATTTCATCTTATATTTTTTGCTGTTTCTTATATCTTCGTCTTAGTTTAGAGTTGAAAATAGTAGCATTTATGGGGTTGTGGGAATGAGAAAGAGAGGGAGTGAGGAGAAAAGTACAATGCAAAATACCAAATATTCTGTCTTCCATCACAACCAACAAAATAGATGTGTCCTAACTCCTCCCTCCCTCTCTCTCTCTCTCTCTCTCTCTCTCTCTCTCTCTCTCTCTCTCTCTCTCTTTCTCTCCCTCCCTCCCTCCCTCCCTCCCTCCCTCCCTCCCTCCCTCCCTCTCTCCCTCCCTCCCTTCCTTCCTCTGTCTCTCTCTCTCTTCCCTCCCTCCTTCACTCTCTCCCTTTCTTTCTCCCTCCTTCCCTCCCTCTGGCATATATTAATCTCTGGGCTGTCATGTGGAGAAAGAAAGAT